GGAGGTCCCTGATGGCACAGAGAGGCTCAGTGCCGGGAAGTTGGGCTGGGCTGCACACCCGGGCACGGAGGAGCTGCTGGTTCAGCTCCTGCCTCATCTTTTCTGCCTCAGCACATGAACACAGGGGCACGTGGGGATGTGAGCCCAGAGGCAGAGCCGCAGGGCTGGGTGCAGCACGTGGCGTCACTCCCTCGCACGGCGTTGGGGCGGCTGAAGGGATCGGGTGCTGAGACCACACTGCTGCTGCTGTGTGGGACTGTGGAGTGAGGGCATTGCCCCAGCGAGCTCTTCCAGGGACCTGCTGGATTCTGAAAGAACAGCTCTGTTTTTTCTTGTCTCGTTTCAGACGGAAAAGGCGTAACTTCAGTAAACAAGCCACAGAAATCTTGAATGAGTATTTTTACTCCCACCTCAGTAACCCCTACCCCAGTGAAGAAGCCAAAGAAGAGCTGGCAAAGAAATGCAGCATCACAGTATCACAGGTGAGCAGAGAGGGAGCAGGTCCCTGCACCCCACGGTGTCTCAGCCTCCTTACTCCCCTGTCTGCTGCTGCCTCCCTCCTGGCGCTGGACGGGGCTTCGCCGGAGGTGAGCGGTACGGAGCAGGTCCTGCCCAAAGCCCCTCCGTATCCCTTCAGGTTTGTGTGTTGGCCATGGTGGGTTTGCAGGGTGATGGGACATGGCTGAGCTCTGTGGGAAGGGCAGTGTGTCCGTGGCAGCTGGGGCTGTGCTGGGGTGTGCACGGGTAGGGAGGTGAAAATGAAAAAGCAACAAGGGCAGCACCCCAGTTCACATCAGCTTTCTCTCTGTGCAGCACTGAGATTCCTGGCTGAGCCTTGCTCTGCTCTGAATTCGTTACAGCTGACCATGATTTCAGGGGAAGGATGGATTATTGGCAAATGTAAATCCATCTTTATTGATCAGGATCTCTGATTGTTCTGAGTTGTTTTTCTAGGCCAGCCAGAAATTTAGCCTCTTGTTACATGGAAGTGACACTAGTGGCTTCTCTGTAGCAAAAGCATTAGGCAGATTTGCTCCTTTTCCCACATGTAACAGCTGTTACTGTGAAGCTAATGCAAGAAAACCAGTCAGGAACACACCTACAGCTCGGACTGGTGTCTTGGAGTGCTGCTCAAGCCAATGACACTGTTGAGCTTTCCTTCACCGTGAAAACACAACACCACTCTGGATTTCTTGTGGCCTGGCTGATAGAAACCCTGATTATTCCCACACAGACCTGGCTCACAGCTCGGGAGAGGTTGTGCTTGGGTGTCAGGGAAGTGCCGTGGCAATTTCCAAGTCCTCCAGCCACACTGTTTGTCACGAGGGCTGGTGTGCCAACTCCTGGCGCTCCCTCAGCTCCCTTATCAATATTTCAGGCCCTTGAGAGCAGCGGAGCCTGCGGCGTGTGTTAACTATTAATGACCGCAGGCTGCAGTATTGGCATTATTAGCAACACAACCTTTAGCTTTGTAATTAAGACCTGAGTTGAGATTTACTTTGTAGGTCTCCATTGCATGCATGAAAAATTTGCATTTTATTGAGGACTTTCAAAGGAAAGGCTACCCAGCTTCTCCAAATTTGGAATTGCTTGACTTTGGGTGCACCCACAGTACCAACCTGGTAGAACTGCCCCAGTGTGTATACCTTGTTCTCTCCTTGCCCATTCCTCAGCACACAGCACACACCACACTCTGAGCAGGGTGGGAAGCACCTGTGCCCGGTGTCAGGGGAAGGAAAGGGACAGAGATGGTGCCAGTTTCTCCCAGTCCATCTACAAATGGCTGTGGTGATGAGCAGGAACATGTTGAGGGAAATTCAGCACACAACTTGTTCTTTCTCACGTTGCTCTTCATTGCTGTTAGCAGCCCTGGCAGGTACAGGGCAGCTGTGGTGGCTGCTCAACTGCTCTCCCATGCCCTCAGGCATCCCTGTGGCTGCCTGGAACCAGCCACACGAGTACCAGGGCACTGTGGTCTGCAGCCCTACGTCTTGCTGATGGTTTCGGTCCTCGGCATGAGATGGTTTGTGGCAATTCCTTCAGTAAGTGGAGTGCAGAACTCTTCCATGTGATCCAAGGCATCCTGCTGTGTAGTGAGGAGAGGCCACACCATCAGCACCAACTTGAAGAAACCCAAAGTGCTGCAGCTTTTCTGGTAACATGTAACTGGGGGAGATGTCAAGGAAAAAAATGTTCCCTGTGTGCCCAGTGATGAGCTGTGCCTGGCAGGGAAGGGGTTAGTGGTCCCGCTGAGTGGACAGATAAAACCCCAGATCTAGATAAGGCTGAAGTCACTGAAGGAAATGAGATGGAACATTTGAGAAGCCATAACTGATTGCTTCTAGTGCTAATAGATCTGATTTCTTTCTTAATTGGCTGTTTGATAAGATTTAATGTATATGCTGTGGAATGGAATAAAAGGCAGGCAGATGGTCCAAGCACGCAGTGCAGAGCGCCTGCAACAGCAATATAGGTTTGTCTCTTTAATATTTGATACAGGCATGAATTAGTTGTTTCTTGAATCCATTAGGAGGTCTGAGTGAGTGATGGGGGTAGCTGCAGTGCGTCCTCTGTAGCACCACATCCAGTATCCTCAGCCTGGCAGGGTCACACTGCCAGCCTGGAGCAAGGGCAGCGCTGCCCACCCAGCCTGGGCACCAGGAACACGGCGCTGGGGCCTCGGCCACGGCTGAAGCTTCACTCTGGCAAGGTGTTATAAATGGCTTGGAAAACCTCGGGATGATGAGCGGGAAGCCTGGAAATGGGGCCATGTATCATCTAATGGGAGAGGAACATGTATGAGAGAGAGGGAGTGCCTGCGATCAGCTGGCTGCTTGAGTTCCTGATGGATCTGTTGTCAAAGCTAGGGAACGTGAATACCATGGATATCCTAATCCTTGGCTTCCAAAGGCACTTCCAAAGGCCACACAGCAGCACTGCAGGGTTAGGTGGCATCTTCTAGGTTGAACGAGGCTGGAGTTTTCTCTCTTTGTACTGAAAAGGGTGTGTATTTCTGAGGCCATGTAGCAGGGGAGCTCCGAGCAGGCTCTGTGCAGCAGCCCTGCACGCTGTGCGCGTGGCTGACGCAGAACTCGGAGGATGTGGCCCAGAGCTTGGGGTGAGTTGAGCAGTCACCCAAACCCTGGCAGGAGCAGCATCACAGGGGACAAGCAGTGGCATGCGAGCGAGTGACTGAGCTGCTCCTTGCTCAGGGCTTCCCTGGAAATTCTCTAAGCATGTGTATTTCCAGCCCTGACCGAGTGTCCCTTGGACCTCCCGTGCCTGGCACTGTGCCCCGTTTACCTCTTGTGCTGCAAACGCCCTGGAGGGGCAGAGAGCTGGGAAATGAAATGAATAATGTTAACGGATGTCTTTGCAGACTCCTGGAGCTGTTGGCTCGTCTTTGATGAAGAGGCTTTGTCCTTTCCCCGGCTGAGCCAAGCTCCTTCGTAGCCTCTCCTAACAATGATCCAAGGTGTTTCTCTCTTGTACTGTCAGTGCCTTGTAAATGCTGGGGGCAGATTCATGGCAGAACATTTTCTCCCTCAAACACTTAATTAGTGAGTGTTTTGGGTCATCCTCCCCCCAGATTAAGCCACTCACTGGAAATCTTGCTGCCACGGCACTTTACTGAGCTGCAAAGAAAATTGTCTCCTAGAACCGTTTCATTGCGAATGGGAGATCGATGGCTTTGGGTTTGATATCGGTGTTTAAAATTATATGCAGAGAAGGTTTTTCAAGAAAAGCATAAAGACAAACTATTAAGATGAACACCTCACACAATTTCATTTTTAAGAGTATGGAAAAGGTAATTCTGGGGAAAAAAATGTCCTTAGCAGAGAACATCGTCGGCTGTAATTTAGAGCTACCCCATCAGCACATGTTGGAGGGAGATAAACTGTGTCATCTGTTCTCCCGTACCATGGCTGCAAGGCTGATGTTTTATACTTTTGCAGATGAGCCTCTTTCAGGGTGTCATGAGCAACCATCAGTCCATCACACGGGCTGGAGAGGGCACAGCCAGAGCTGGGAGCGTGGCAGTGAGCACGGCAATAACATCTCTCACTTCCTCAAACAAAAGAAGGATGTGGTTGACAAGGGAACGTATTTAACATTCTTTTAGAGAAAGGATGCAGGGGCTGGTTTCCAACATCACTCCTGCCCCTGCTGCTTCTGAGTGTGCTCCTGTGAGCAGGTTGACAGGGAGAGCTGTGGATGTAGGTAGGAGCTCTTATCCCTGGGCTTCGTGTGGGAAGCAAGGGAAAAACTGCAGCATAATGATCTAATTCTTGTGGTAGAATTCTTGGAATTAGATCATTGGCCAGAATTGTGCCACACTGATTTTCTGGTTTTGTGGTACAAACATGGAAACACAATGAGAAGACTTCTGTGATTCATGAATCTGTAGTTCAGTAATTCCAGCAATGATGCTTTGTGTCAGCTGTGTCTTTGCAGACCGAGCGCTGATTTATCCCGGGAAATCAGCCACTGTGGAGACATGAGGCAGGCCTGCCCCATCCCAAATCCCACATTAGGCATCTTGATGGTTTCAGCAATAATTTATTGTCTTTTTATTTAACATTGCAATTAACGTGATAAATAAGTGTAACAGTATTGTTTGAAATGTAATATACAATTAAGCCCAATTAATTAATTGGCCTTCAATGATCAGGAGGAGAAAGATGTTCATTGGCTTTTTTATGTGAAGAGATAGTTTGTTTAAATGAAAAACGTGTTGTGAGGCCGCTGGTGATGGAGACAACCCGTGTTTGGGGGAGCATGGGGTCCCGGGGCGGCTGGGGAGCCTGGCTCTGCACCCCGGTCACCCGGCGCAGCGAGGGTGAGGTGTGCCCAGGTGGGCAGGGTCTGAGTCCTGCCTG